CCTTTAGTAACCAATAGCTCTTTTACGCCATGTTAAAATGTGGTGAGATTCACAAAAGTGAGAGGATGAGAGTAATTTTTCTTACCGTTTCTAAAGGAATCGATGAGAATGATTCTCAATTTTAATTGAATCTCACAAATTTAGAATTATTCTCCATTTTTAGGTTTTATTTACAAATCCAATCTCTTACTACTAGAGAACTTAGGCTCGGTTTGATAAGGTTCATGTTTTTTGTTTTTTGTTTCTTATTTTTAGTTTTTAAAAGCATAAATGTTTAGTAACTATTGATGTTTATCATTTCTCATTTTCAAGAAATATTTCTAAAATTGTATAGAAATTTTACAAACAACAAAATCAAGGCTTTTTTTGGTTTTGTTATGTTTCAATTTTTTTAAATTGCTGTTGGGGTCAGCTACACACAACCGACCTGGACACGACAAGGCCCGAGGAGCCGACCTGGGAGGTCAGCATGGCGAGTAAGGCAGCCACATCACTTCGTCCCTTAGAGCAGGGGTCGGATCGGTCACTATCAGCGACCAGCAGTTATTCAACAGGTCCCTCCGTGAACGTCGGATTACACCAATGGGACGTATATCAACCCAACCATCGCTATAAATACACCCCTCGCCCACTATTCCAGGTATGAAAAATCTGTCTGATGTTTACCTATCTAGCGCGGTTTGAATACTAACTTGGGCGTCGGAGTGGTTGCCTCCTTGCAGGTACCCTGGAAACTGCCCAAGTGCTCACGGCCGACCTCGGAGGTCGCCTTCCATACCCCAACCARGTTTTTGCATCAACAACTACAAATATAAATATTATTTTACCACTTGTAAAATATGCAATACATATTAAAAYAAAAGAAACATAACATTAAAATTTTGAATATTTAATTTAAAAATTCTAAATGTGAGTGAATGAATAGTTATTAAACAATTTTTATCTCATGATGTCACCTACTGTAGATTACACATAGTGGACTCAGAGTGGAAATCTGAATTTAAAAAATAAATATGCTGTTTTTTTTTTTTTGATAAAAGAAAGATAAATATGATTTAAATATACATACGACTTCATTAATTTTAGGTTAAACATCTCTGTTTTATAATTTTAAAATATCATTTACATTTTATGAATGTAAAGCAAATATCATTTTTCTTGGTATAATCATTAAAAATTTTTAATTGTTTTTAAATTTAATTTATAAAATAGTATATAGATTACTTCCATTTTAAAAAATATTATACTAATTTGTATAATTCAATTATAATTATGTACATGTCAAGATATACATTTTTATGGCCTAATATATTTATATTTCAATGCATGCAAAAATTGAATAAAAATAATCAAGTATAGTTTCATAAAAGTTTAAAGACCAAAATCAAAGTTGAAAGGTAGACATGTGAAATATAAATAYAAAGTCAACATGAAATCTTAGGGACCATTGGAACCTAGGGTTTGAATTCAGTAAACTATGATCCATTAGAATTTTTATTTTTYAAAAAATACTGCATATTTCAATAACTTTTTTTAAAAAAAATTGTTGAATGTATAATCTTTTTTAGTACACGTTTGAGGACGGGATTAAACCTTCAACTCTTAAGAAAGGAGGTAGATGGAGCTCATGTTAGAGGTTAAATGGACCATTTAAATGAAATAATTACATTCTTTCTATAAAAAATAAAACTTCGAGTTAAATAGAAAAATTTATAATTACTCATGTTTCAATAATAATTATTTACAATTTKTTATCATTATTAATACTTTTTGCATGGGGAATGTCCAGACTTCGACTTTGGGTGGCTTTATTCGAGATGGTTAACCACTTTTTTAACCGTAAGAGGGAKGTCATTCAAAACCTGCTGGCTCCAGAACCGGTGGAAGTTCCCCACGCTGCGCCTTAATGGCATTTTGAGTTCGAATGGCATTTCACTACTAACCACAACTCACTCGCTGATTCTTCAACATTAGTCGGTTCGGACCTCCACTTAGTTTCACCCAAGCTTCATCCTGGTCATGGATAGATCACCCAGGTTCGAGTCCATAAGCAGTGACAATTTCCCCATGAAGACTCTCTTCTATTCTTGTATTTTAAACTCTTTTCTTTTCTTCATTCTTTGCCTACTCTCGCTCTCTTCATCTTACCGCTCTATGTTGTATCAGGACGAGAAAGGATATAACGGTGCATTGAAAGATCCAACAGTAAAAAGAGAAACAAAAGGGGGTTCTAAAAAGGAATCAAAATCGAAATGAAAGCGAAAACTAGTATAACAAAGAAATATGTGCTCCTACATCGAATAGAAGAATAAGACAAAATYATTACTTTGAAATAGCTTACTTTACGGGGACTTGTTAAATTTTAAAAGAAGAGTTAGTTTTTGGGGCTATCTCCATTCTCGACCTAACAGAGGAGATGTGAATTCTATTCAAGCAGGTAAGCTCTTACTCTATGTACTCTCCAAGTACATAGTAAAGTTCACTATGGTGATAAGCAAGAAAAAAGAATAGTCCCAAAAAGTACTTTATTTAGCCTTTTTATAGTTGGTCATCCCCTCCTTCCTCACTACGACGCTTGAATTGGAAAGAGTGACTTTACTATAAAATCGAGGAAGAAAATTACAATATGCTGCAATTGTTATAAAGCTTAACTGTATAGTGTACATAGATATGCTTCAATGTTAGATAAATTCGACGAATTTCATAGAGACATCCCTACATTTGAAAATTCAAACTAACAATAGATCCACACGAAACCCCAAGCAAATCTACATATAAAAGTAACAAATAACTATAACATCATTAAACAAAAGAAGACAACATTAAAAATTACAATAGAAAGTAAATCTATCTTTGAATCAAACAAAGTGAATATAAAAATAGATTTTTATTTTATTATTTTTTTAAAAGAAAAACACAGCCATGAAACAAGCCAATTTGTGTCAGCTTCAAAAAGTAAGAGCCAAAGTGAAGTGAGCTCAAATCCTTAAACCCAAAAAATAATTTATCCTTTTTTTTTTTTAATTTCGTTCTGATTCTGAAGAATTATCTCATGTCCCACGTCACAGGTCCCATCTCTAAAACAAACCCTGATAGAAACGCTTCTATTTTTTTTTTCCTAATCTCATATGTTTTGTTTCTTATTTTTTTCTTTTTTTTTAATATAGAAAATATAAATTCATCGCATAACTTATTTTGTTTCTTACTTTTTTATGGAAAAAAGAAACCAACATGTTTGAGAACTATTTTTTATTTATTGTTTTTTTTTGCAATTTTTAATTATAAAAAATAAAAAATTTTATATGAAGATTAATTTAAAATTATAGATTCAAAATTTTTACGTTATATTTTCTTAAACATATTTCATAGGTAAATAATGATCAAATAATACTTTTATTTATATTTTGAAAAGAAATGGAAATGAGAACAAGAAATAAAAAGATTTGATTTTGTTGTTTCCAAAATGTTCATACAATTTTGGAAAAGTTTCTTTAAAATGAGTACGGAGAAATATGAATAGTCACTAAATGTTATGTTTTTCAACCATTGAAAATGAGAAACAAAAAACAAAAATGTTACCAAACGGACTCTAATAAATAATGCATTTGGTCCATATATTTCTATCGAAATAACGATTTAATTGAACTTTAGTATGTAACAATTTAGTCTATATACTTTAAAATTTCTATCGTTTTACTCCTTGAATAAATCTCATCGGTGAAGTTCCAATGTTTAATACGTGACAATTTAGTAACTCGATAGTTTAAACGCTAGTTTTTAAGGACCCATTTGGTAATGTTATTTCTCGTTTCTAATTCTATTAAGAAGCATATGCATTTGCAACTATTTATGTTTCTTGTTTCTCACTTTTTAGAAACATTTTCAAAATTGTATAGAAATTTTAAAAATAATAAAAACAAGTTTCTCGTGTTCCAAAAATACAAATAGAAACATTGTTTTATCACAAACAAGAAAGATGAACGTTACTAAACAAAACCTAAATGATTCATCAATCAATCTCTCCACATAAGTAATCTCACTTTTCTTTTGGAAAAGTCATAAGTAATTACAATTTGGTAAAAAAATTTCAAAGACTAAATGGTTACCAATTTTAAACTGCAAAAAATTTAAATTGCTTCAAAATTGATTTTAGTTTTTAACTAGTCTATATGCTTTAAATTTTCTATTGTTTAACAATTTAGTAACTCAGTAGTTTAAAACGCCAGTCTCTAAAGGCTCATTTGGTAACGTTGTTTCTTGTTTCCAATTTTATTAAGAAACTTAAACATATGACAACTATTTATGTTCCTCGTTTTTCATTATTTAGAAATATTTTCAAAGTTATATAGAACTTTTGGGAAATTTGTTTTTGTTCTCATTTTTAATTTATTCCGAAAACACAAATAAAAACATTGTTTTATCATTTTTGAATCCGYCATGGGTATTGAGGGCCATGCAATTGTCTTTTTCTTTACTAAAAATGAAAAAAAACAAAAACAAGAAATAAAAATGTTACGAACCCTTAAATGATCTATCAATCACATAAACAATTTCGTTTTTCTTACCGAGAGGGCATAAGTAATTTCATTACAGTTACATATTAGTAAATTTTTTCAAAGACTAAATCATTACGGATTCTAAAGCGCATCAAACTTGAATGGGTTCAAAATTGATTTTAATTTCTAACCAATCCTCAAACCCTAAACTCATGTCCTTCTTTAGTTTGTAGTTTGGCTCTATTCCCAAGGAATTATCCTCTTATTGTCCCTCCAGTGGATCCCATCACTGAAACCACACATAGCCGTTGGAGGAGCGCTAAGCCCACTGTCCCCAAAAAACCAAAACCAAAGCCCCTGAGATCACAAATATTTTAGAGAGGAAAAAAAAAAAAACTAGCCGTTATGGGGGAGAGCCTCTGGTCCCTTATTGCATCCACCTGACATTTGTGTCCCTCTCTCTCTCTCTCTCTCTCCTCTCAGGAATTCACGTGCCCTTTCAGAGAGACAAGCAAAACCCACCTCTTGGTCTTGGCTTCTTCTCAATTCTCTCTACAAAACCCCTCTCTCTACCAACCCACTCTCTCCGGTCCCCTGTTTCTCACTCCTTTTTCAAGCTTCTTCCTTTGCGGTTCTTTAGCCTTTTCCATGGATGAAAATGAAACCCCATTAGATTCCAACTCCTGTTGGAAGCTCCCACTGCCAGATTTTGGGGTTTTGTTGAAGGGGCTCTGTCTTTCAGGCCAGAAGAGCAAAACCCATGTCTCTGTTTTGTGGTTTTTGGTGATTTTGGTGTCCATTGGAGCAGTTTTGGGCCAGGATTGGGATGGCGTGGTTGTCACACAGGCTGATTTCCAATCTCTTGAGGCGTTTAAGCAGGAACTTGATGATCCAAAAGGGTTCCTGAAGAGCTGGAACGACAGTGGATTTGGGGCTTGTTCTGGTGGATGGGCTGGGATCAAGTGTGCTAAGGGACAGGTTATTGTGATACAGCTTCCATGGAAGGGGTTGGGAGGAAGAATCACTGACAAAATTGGGCAGCTTCAGGCCCTTAGAAAACTCAGCTTACATGACAACTTCATTGGTGGATCAATCCCTTCCTCATTGGGGCTTCTCCCAAATCTCAGAGGGGTTCAGTTGTTCAACAATCGGCTTTCGGGGTCGGTCCCGGCGTCGTTGGGGCTTTGTCCTTTGCTTCAAACTCTTCACATTAGTAACAATTTGCTCACCGGAACAATCCCTCCTAGTTTGGCTAACTCCACCAAGCTCTATTGGCTTAACTTGAGCTTCAACTCGCTTTCGGGTCCGATCCCACCAAGTCTCGCCCGATCGGTGTCCCTTACTTTCCTTGCTCTTCAACACAACAATCTCTCTGGCAGCATTCCGGACTCTTGGGGCGGCGGCGCCACCGAGCAAAACCGGGTGTTTCAGCTCAAGTCTCTGGCTCTTGATGGCAACCTCCTCTCAGGTACCATACCAACTTCTTTAAGCAAGTTGAGTGAGCTTCAAGTGGTTTCCCTTAGCCACAATAGGTTGAATGGTGGCATTCCAGAAGAAATTAGTAGGCTTTCTCTGCTCAGAACTTTGGATGTTTCTAACAATTTTCTTAATGGGAGTATCCCCCAAAGTTTTGATAGATTGAGGAATCTCTCTGTTCTAAATTTGAGTAGAAACAGATTCAATGGTGAAATTCCTGAAACTTTGGGGAACATTTCAACACTTACACAACTTGATTTATCTCAGAACAATCTAAGTGGAGAAATACCAGCTTCTCTTGCTGACTTGAAAGGTCTTCAATCCTTAAATGTCTCCTACAATAATCTATCGGGTTCGGTTCCTTCGGCGCTCTCTGAAAAATTCGATGCAAGTTCCTTTGTTGGGAATATTCAGCTCTGTGGGTTCAGTGGTTCGACTCCGTGCCCAGCCCCGGCCCCTTCTCAAGAAGTTCCTGCTCCTCCACCGGAAGGTTCGACATCCCGTCATCGGAAGTTGAGTACTAAAGATATAATACTCATAGCAGCAGGAGCCCTCCTTCTAGTCTTGATTATAGTTTTCTTTGTACTGCTCTGCTGCTTGATAAGAAAAAGGGCTGCTTCAAAAGGGAAGGATGGTGATGAGGCTGCAGCAGCAGCCGGGGCTGCAAGGGCCGAGAAGGGTGTTCCTCCGACTAGCAGTGAAGTCGAAGCAGCGGGAGGAGATGCTGGAGGGAAGCTCGTGCATTTCGACGGGCAAACGGTCTTCACAGCAGATGATCTTCTGTGTGCAACAGCAGAGATTATGGGGAAAAGTACTTATGGGACAGTCTATAAGGCCACATTGGAGGATGGAAATCAAGTTGCAGTGAAGAGATTGCGAGAGAAGATCACAAAAAGCCAGAAGGAATTTGAAGCAGAGGTCAACATACTTGGCAAAATCAGGCATCCAAATCTTCTAGCTTTGAGAGCTTATTACTTGGGACCCAAAGGAGAAAAGCTTCTCGTTTTCGATTACATGTCGAACGGGAGTCTCGCAGCGTTCCTCCATGGTAAGTAACTGCAAATTTTCATACTTTTGCTTCACATCCAAAGGTAGTGAAGTCTTGAGCTTGCTTACTGACTTCTTTGAAATCTACAGCTCGGGGACCAGACACGTCCATCGACTGGCCAACGAGGATGAAGATCGCTCAGGGTATGACCCGTGGCCTCTATCATCTTCACGCACACGAGAACAGCATCCATGGAAACCTAACATCCAGCAACATTCTACTTGATGAGCATATAAATGCTAAGATTGCAGACTTTGGCCTATCAAGGTTGATGACTGCTGCTGCAAGCTCGAATGTGATCGCAACTGCAGGGGCACTCGGGTACCGAGCGCCAGAGCTCTCGAAGCTGAAGAAAGCCAACACGAAAACGGACATATACAGCCTTGGAGTGATCATATTGGAACTCCTGACTGGGAAGTCTCCCGGTGAAGCCATGAACGGAGTCGACTTGCCGCAATGGGTTGCATCAATCGTCAAAGAGGAGTGGACCAATGAAGTCTTCGATTTGGAGTTGATGAGGGACGCATCTACCATTGGAGACGAGTTGCTGAACACTCTGAAACTTGCTTTGCATTGCGTCGATCCTTCGCCATCGGCGAGACCGGAAGTTCAACAAGTGCTGCAGCAACTGGAGGAGATTAGGCCAGAGACTGCCGCTGCCAGTTCTGGAGATGATGGAGTAGGAGGAGGAGCCCCTTCAACAAGTGAATGAAAAGCGCTTTCTCCAAATAGGCAGTAGGAATAGAGACAATTCTGTGATTCTTTTAATTCTTTTAAGAGTGCTTTTGTTGTCTTAGATTTGATATAATTTGGTTGGCCTCTTAAGCAAAAACACCATATATTTTTGTTTTAAGGCCAACTTCTTGCTACTTTGACAAGTAAAATGACTAGAATTCTAGTTTCTCCAAATTTGCAAGTACTGGTTGAATAACTGAACCCTGTAAATTTTGGCAATCAGATTTAGAAATAAAATTCTTCCTCCCCAGATCGATTGTGTCCCGTGTAAATTTGCATGTATGTACTGAATACAATAGATTTAAAAGCTCAAATAAAGAGTTCACAAGATCATCACGAACATGTACCGAACCCACTCGCTAAGTCTACAAGAAAACTCCTCATTTAAATGCAAAAGGTGTTGTTTTTGTATACAAGTTTGTCAAACTACAATCAAAATTTTCAGCTGCGATCTTTTCTTCCATAACCTCTCGTCTCTTCTGCAAGATTCTCCCAAACGTTTGCCATTTTCTCTGCATATCCCACCTGCCAAAAATGAATTTCGATTAAGGTACGGTATGCATACATCGAACCTACATGTTGAATCGAAGGTTAATGTCAAGTAAGTGTTGTTAAAAGAATCTAACCTGATTAAGGACAAAACCCCTCAACATATTTGTGAAGTCCTCTTGCATCTCCCGGTCGAGCCTCTCGAGCTCACTCCTATTGTTTTCCTGCACACAAAATACTCATACTTAACACTTCAGGCAGCTCACTTAAACCAAAACATCTCAAGCATTTGAAGAAATTTAGAACGATTCCATATGAGTGAACCAAATTATAAAAGCGGTTATGCAATTAACTGCCTCAAAATAAACCAGGAACATTCCATTTTCCATGTAATAATCTTTTATAATCCAAAGTGAAACTAGAAAGCGATAACACATACAGAAAAATGGCTCAAAGAAGAGGCTATATCTACCTTGATCCGGTCATATTCTCTTACTGCACGAGTCTTAGCATCCTCTGTTACATGCACCGTATCTTTCAACTCCTCAATTTTCCGTAACCTGGACCGGTCTCCACCAAATATCTTTGATGAGGCAACCTCAAGCTTCTCAATCCTTGTGTGTAAGGAAGATAAATCCGATGAAAGGGTCTGGACTGTCAGTAGAGCGCTTTCTCGGTCAGAAAATGCACCATTGGCAGCTAACATAACTCCAAGATAATCATGAAGCTTATCCTGCAATAGATACAAGAAAGTACTTCATTGAATCTGGATATAGAACTTAACAGTGCAAATCATCGAGAGACTCTTTCCAGGACAGCGAAAGAGTTTCCTGGATGGAACTTACAGCAGCCATAAGGTTGAGTGACTTTGAGATGACTTTTTTGTCTTTGAACAAATTTGAGATGACATTTGAGAGTAGTGTTTTTAAGAGTTTCAAAATCATCTTTAACTATATGACCAAATACCATGAAAATTTTGAAATCTTTCTTAGTTAGCTAAGAACACTTTTCGTTCTCTCAAAAGTCACATCAAACTCACCCTAGGTGGACAGATATACTAATTCTTCTAGCAACAAGTTTCTCAAACTTACCAAATGCTTCACCGTTTGTGAATTTAGTTCTCTATACAATCTGCTGGATTTAACAGCAGCAGTGGCCAAATTTTTCATGTCAGCAGCTCGTACTCTTTGAGACTCCACAATAGCTTCTTCAGTCTCAAATTTGGACAGCTTTACAAATGCTAAACCCAGTTCTCCCATTGTCTCTCCTATGTCTTGCTGAGCTTTCACCAGCGATTCAGCCTTCAATACAACGGTGCACACACATACAACATTACTACAGAGTATAAAGAAATGAGAGTGATTTCATTTTCTATCAAAAATTAAGGGCAATCAGTAAGATATTTCATGATTAACCACAACTTCATCCAATACTTCTCCACAGATGTTGTGTTTTTGCATTTAATTTGGGCAGACCATGAAAACCATAGTTTAAAAGAGCATACAAAAAATGCTTATAACTATTCCTAACGCCACCATATCTGAAATTCTCTAGTTTTTACAAGATAGAGATAAGTAAGAAAACCTTTATGGCACCAGATTCACACCTGTTGAGACACATCGCTAAGTTGCTGCTCGAAGTCCATCAATTTCTCTTTCTTCTCCAAGAACTCCTTATCTTCTTCCACCACCATCGGCTTTGCCCCGACCCAATCGTTTGTCATTGATTGCCTCAATTCCTTAAAGAGTCTCAACAAATCTCTGCCCCCTCTTGCTGGTTTTACCACTTCCTGCAAATCTACAGCCGCTGCTGGTTCCCCAAATAGCTGCCTCGGAAGCTTTACCGCTCCATCAAGCATCCTTGAAGCTACATCAGTGCTTCTAACCAGTGGCAATGATCCCTTTGCCTCTAGAAACATCCTCAACTCCTCGCTGTTTCGAATTACTGGATGCAATGCTAATTTCTTCAAATACTTCTCTAATGCAACCCTCCTCTGCTCCACGAACTCCTGCTTTTGCATCATTTGGCTCTCCACCACGTTCTTATCCGGCCTCATCGGAATGAAAAACCCACGGTACGACTCCAGCAATCGATCAGACAGTGCGACAACGTCCTTGAACCGCCTTCGAACACCGAATTCGGATCCAGGACCTCCGTACTCGGGCAGATTCGTTCTCGTCGTAATCAGATAAGTGTAGTAACCGCTTCCACCCGGGACCAACGAATTGGATAGCTCATCCATTTTCTGTGGATCCGAAACCGAWACACTCAAGAATTCAGAGCTTGAAGCGTTCGATGTGGAAGAGAAGTCGGGGCCGCCATCGCGAGCACTAGACGACGAATCAAAAGACGTGAAAATCGCCTCTGCATAAGAAGGAGGCTCGAGAAACGAATCGAAAGGCGAATCAGGGCTCTGGCGGTCCGCGTAAGAAGACGGCGACGAAAGCAAAGGATCATAGTTTATCGTCACCGGCCGACTCAATTGACCGTTCCTACCATGAGATTGCCCGTCGGGAGGATCGTCAAGAACGAGATTCTCCATTTCTTCACGAGACGAGTGCAGGTCCGCCTCTTCCTGATCCCCGTAGCTCATCATATCGAATCAGACAAACAAACAAACAAACAAAAAGAACAAGATCACGAAAGACAATGGATAAAATCTAGGCAAAATTCTTCAAACTTCTACTCCGAACATGATCGAATTCCGAAAATTTGGTGCGAAAACGGCGGCTGATCGGCGAGGGCAGAAGAATTGGAAGGCTTTCGAGAGAGTGATGAAGCCGCATATGGAGACGAGCGAACACGGCAGCCGAGGGAGCGAGTCACCACGTGGGTACGAAATCGAGACTCGAGAGTAGTTCGAGGATTGAGGCTGAGTCGACTCGGGGTACGACTCCAGAGTTCATTCATGTGTAACTCGCGATTTTCATTCCGAGACTTAATTTGGTGGTCCTTTCTTTAGTTCAACCGRTTGAAACATATATTTTGTATTGATTAAATGGATCAAGAAAACAAGTTATGCTCTGAAAATTAAATTTTGAAAAAAACAATGTTTCTTTTTTCTTTTTGRAATCTTATTAATTAACCTTTTTTTTAAATGTATGTTTTAATTAAGTTTATGTCATTCAATTAAATTCCTACGTTTAAAATTTTGATGATAAATTTACGTGACACAATAATTTTTAAGTTGGATATAGGTTATGTACGTTCGTCCTACTCTACTCTTCAAACATGCTTAATCAAAACAGGACGAGCAAACTTAACCTATCAGGGTGATGTAAAATGAGCATTTTTCTCGTTGACCAATGAATGAATGACACATCCTTGCGATGACACACATCTCTAGCATGGGTCATTGTCAATGCAGGTGCCTTGGTGATTATGAAGGGGGCAAGTTGGCTTCAAGATAAGTTAATCCATGGTTTATCTCTCTTTCCCTCGTGTTCATGGCTTGGGTTGAATTGAGGTATTTTTTAGATCCAACTTAAATATTTGAGTGGTAGGTTTATTCAACTCAAACAACTCTTATTAAATGATAAATCCAACCATGAGTCGGTTGGTTCGGGTTATTCAAATTATTGTATACCAAAAAAAAAGTAAATGTAATAATATCTTAAATATTTATTTATATATTGTATAATATTAAATCAAGATTTATAAGTCCATTTTTATTTATACGTTGAAAATGCACACTAAAAAAAGCATTTAAAAGTTGTTTTTAAAAGTCCTTGTTGAATAAATAATTCATGAAGGAAATAAAATTAAAATAAATATAACCATATATAATTTTTATGGTGATTAAGAAAATTAGTTTTAAAATTAATAATAAGTTCGGGTTGGTTCGGTTAAACTCAAACTTATTTAAGGTGAACCCTTGAAACCAAACCCTAGAATTTTCAATTATTTGAACCCAATCCAACCCAAACTGTATGGGTTGGGTTGGGTTGATCGGTTTTTTCGAGTCCCCGAGTATTTTTAACACCCTTAGTATTATTATATTAGCTCTTTCTTCTTCTATTTCTCTAGCTCGATCGTGGAGTTCAGGCTATACTAAAATGGATAAGATCAATTTAAGTAGCTTTTCAACTATAACTTAGCAATAATATGAATTAAAAATGGGTATTGTCACACTATTAACAAATGTGGGGTGTGGTAATTTGACACCTTCCATTTTAATGGACGGAGTAGATATCATAACTATTGAGCTATGTTCAGGTTGATACTTGGGAGTGTTTATTACGAACATAGTTTTATCACGAAATTAGTAGACCATCTCATTCTAGGACCCTAATATCAAGTTTCTTATTTCAATGCAAATTAGACAACATCTATGAGCTTATTTGCTCCATAGTCTCTAGATTCATTTCTATGCTAAATATTTCATTTCCAACATTTTTTAACCCTAACAAAAAGAAAAAGGTTTAAGATCTAAAGGGTGGGCGAACCAGAACTTTAACTTAACTCATCCAAAATGTCGGATTAGATATAGATCATCATCCTCTTAATTAAAATGAGAGGTAAAATGAGTGTAACTATCTTATTTATTATTTAGACTTTATCAGTAGTTTGAATTAATTCTTTTCATATTGAGATAAAATATACAAGAAGATCCTAGTTGAAAACCCCGTTGTAGAAAAAACTACAAGTCAAGATAAAAGTTGTTCAAAAATAAATTTACAGTGTAACAACTATGGTGTGACGCTCGAGTAGAGATTAAGGGTACACGAATGAACCGATACCACATCCGAAATAGAGGGATCCTGAGATCATAGAAACATGATTAAGAAAAAGCTTAAAAGAAAGGATAGTTACCACCTATACTAACAAGGTACACCTCCCTCTTCGGTAACTCAATTGTAAGAACTTCAAAGTTGAGCATGTTTGACTTTGAGCAATCTTCAACTGGGTGACATCCTATGAATACTCTCATTAATAAAGACATTAATAACCTCATCTAAAATTGAGATTTGAATTTCGAGCCATTGTGTGACTAGGAAAAGAAGGAGAGAATAATAGAAAATACTCCATTTTAATTTTAAAAAAATTTGAAGAATATTAGCAACAAGGAGATTAGACTCACGTTTCCAAGTCGTTTTTATACTTTTTTCATTAATCGCATTTTTAATAAATTAAAATTTTAAGCAAGAAAAAACTTGAGAATAATATTATAGATTTGACTCTAAGGCTCATTATATTTGATTGTCATTTTATTACTTTTCTTTTTCGTGTTGTTTTTCATAAATTAATTAAATATATCTACATCTACTTTTTTTAATAAATTAACGTCGCTTTATACTATTCATACCATACCATTGGAAATTCACCGACCCATATAATTTATTGGTTTTTTTCCCCAATTTCTAATTTTATAAGTATATTGTTTTAACTAAAGAGACGCTTGGTGAGTGAGTTTGATATAAAGCTCAATTCTAAGTAGAAAGTTTTAAAAACTTAGGCACATGTTTGATATCTCAGAGTTTAAAAAAATTGTGTTTTTAGTTTTTAAAACAAGCACTTCATTAATCCAAACAAAAAGAAGCCTCGTGGGCCACGTCAGCAAAAAGATTATCTTTCACATTTTTAGTAAAGCCAAGAAGGAAAATCACAAAGCCATAAGAAAATATTTCCAACCTAAGAGACTTTCTAGCAACAAGATGAACAACTCCCTTCCATTCTCTACAGACACGTACAAATTGAAATGAGAAGAAGGATGGAGTCATTGATCTAATAAAAAATTTCAACTAACACAATCTCTTTTAGTGTGAAAATTTTCATACACACCAACGAGCAATCGAACCTATCGTAAAAAATGTGTTTTTTCAAAATAATGCTTTTGAAATTATTCCGCCCATCACTCGAACCCCAACTCAAACCCAAGATGGAAATGATGATAAGGTAAGTGTTGCACCCACTACACCACTAAGAATTATATTACTTCTATAACTACTGCATAATATTTAATACAACATAATATTTTTTTTTCTAAAATTAACATCCGACTAGTCGTTTCTGACCATAGATACGTGTCAATAGATGGTCGTTTCTAAGAGACGTGACGTTTTAAGGCCACGTCTTATGGTCGTCTCTTTGCTGTCAATGACATGGTCGTTGTACTTCAAGAGACGACCATGTGGTGGAATCATTTCAAAAACATTATTTTGGAATAAGTTTGGAAAAACGTATTTTTTATTTAATTTTATTTAAACAAACATTATTTTAAAAATAAGTTTTTAATAAAACATTATTAAAAAAAAACCCCAATTTGTTTGGCTTGCTTACAATCCGCAAGAAGATGGTGTGTCCTGTCCCCTGCTTATAGGTAACACATCTAGGCCTTCCTTTCTTGGATTCGTTCTTAAATACTATTTTGTAATGTTTTTCAAAGAAAATTCTTGATTTTATGTGGTAAAAGCTTAAATACCAATTAGTTCGACTTGAATTTTCATGATTTTTCTATTTTAGTTATTGAGTTTTTGAAAGGTCTAGTTTAGTCTCTTAACTTTTTGAAAATTAATCATTTTTGTCTTTATATTTATTTCGCTTTTAACATATCGATAATATATCTTCCAGTGTACATATTAATATATGGATAGGTATATATTGAAGTCACATAGATTAGATGAGGCGACTATTAAATCAGCTCTATCATGTGGCGAAGTTAAAGAGCACAAATATAAAATTTTATTTTTGAAAGTTTAAAACTTTTGAAACTTGAGAAACTAAAATTTTTATTTTTTCCTTAAAATTTCAATGCCTAAATTATATATTTTGGATGTTGAGACTTAGAGACTAAAATGCGAAATAGAATTTAAATCTACCAAGTTTATTTCTATAATTATTTTTACAGATATTTTTAAAAATCACAGTGGGCCTGAAAGGTCCAATGGAAGCCATGGACATTGGACACGGCCCAAAGTTATTTCAAAAGGGTACAACTAAAAATAAACAAATAAAATATTTATAAAAAACAGTTTTCTTTTCCAGAGGAGAGAAACTTATAACCGCTTGATCGTTGGAGATATATGTCAATTACCGTTGAGTTATGTATTTTGAATTTTTTAAAGAATTTTGTTATAATTATTGATGTTGTTTTCCACCGAGCTCACAGGTCGGCTTTGTACTAACGAGGACGAGCTGCCGAGCTATTCGAGTGAACCTGCACAGGAAACAAACACTCCAACGCCCAAGTCAGTTACAAGTTCAAGTCGTTCTCGGAGGAAATTGTGTACCTGATCCTTGGGTGGAGTRCCCCTTTGACCACCAACTATAATGATTCAAGTATACATATTATTTCAATTATGTATAATTTTATGTCGATAATTGATTGATAAACTTTTTAAAATAAAACTATTTAAATCGTAAATTGTATTTTATTAAGATGGGAATGAGGAAAATGTATAAACGAATACAGATGTCCTTTTAAATACATGTGTCACTAATACAACGTGACATAAGTAACAAACTAAATCAATTAGTTGTAAACTATCTCAATATATTTTGTTCCCTTAAATTATTTGATAAAAAGATTAGGAGAAATAGTAACAATTATAATCCCATATTCTAAAACAAATGTTTATAACAAAGTTATATCGAATAAAATGTTATTAAAATGTTAATATAAAAGGTAATAAAAATAAAATGATGAAAATCGTTTTAAAATGTTCTTAAACATTAATTAATTAGGCTGCTCCTAGAATTTAAGAATGAACCTAACAAGTTTTACTAATTTTGAAGTTAAAAGTGAGTGAAAATTGAAAATATAATAAAAATAAAAATATATGAATACGTAAATGATGAACTAATTAAGATATCTCTCTTACAACCATACGTAGATGATGTAAATCTGATCATAGTTGAACTGGTTAAGACATCTATCT